TCCAATTTTGAATAGTCAAAAGAAGACAGACCCAAAAGAAAAGAAAAAAGAAAAAAATCCAAAATGGGCTGTCATCAATGTTTTGGACAAGTGAAGTGAGAGAGAGATCACAGGACACAAACCCAAAATTTAATTGATTAACTAATTAAGCAATTATTGGCGTAATTATATTATAATATATACTTTAAGTGAATGAAAAAAATAAATGGTTATTTATTTATACAGATTTGATCGAGGCAGTGCAAGCTAAGCAAAACAAATTAAATAAAAGTAAAGTCGTACAGAGTTCATTATTCTGGAGCAGAAGATTAGTTGGTGCTGTAATTCAATCTTTAAATAGAGTTTCTTTTTAATTTCTTTTTATTTATTTATTTTGTTGAGTTAAAAATCTTTTTTAGTTGAGGTAACGATTTACCTCATAAATTTAGGTTATTGTATTTTCAAATTAATAACAATTTACTCATATATAACCCCTTAAATTTTGTAATTTGTATATAAGAGACAACATCGTCATATATTTTAGATTAAAGTTTAGAGACTGAAACCTTACTAATTTGAAAATATAGGGGCTAAATTATTACTTAATTAAAATTACACGGCCAAAAATTTAGCTTTTTAAATTTTAATTATTAAAATTGTGAGTGTTGGTTGTTTAATGGTTCTATTGCTGTGGTTGCTAAAACTTTTCCATGATTTTGTCCTTAGGCTTGGGACCCGGCGGCTGCTCTGTATCCCTCTATGGCGCGCCATAATAATTATATCCATATATTTTGTAATATTTTTTTTTCCTACTTTAACTATAATATACATTGATGCAGAATTCTATCGAGCTCCACACGTCGGTCACAAACTAATATGAAGCGAGTTGTCGAGGTGTGATCTCTTGAGATAGCAGAACCTATACAAGGAACAAACACTCTAATGTTGTTATCGGACACAATTGCGTACCTAAAGTGTGGGGTGGAGTGTCCTTTTTATAGGTAGGGGGACAAGTTAAAGTCGTTGGAGCCATTCTGATTGGCGGTTACGGTTGTCAGGCCCTCAGGTCGGTAGTTTAGGCCTGAGGTCGCCTTCCTCAGGTCGGTGGAGCTTTAGTTGCCTTCTCAGCTCGATGGGTTGTCAGGTACGTCGACGGGTATGGATGGTCTAATTTTTTATTTCTGGTGACTTCGAACTGAGTTGGGATGTACATGTGTCGAATCTTAATTTCACCAACTATACAATATTGAAGTATGATTCGTTTTTCTTATGTACTATACGATACTATACGATACAGTTATCTTTTCAAGCTTAAATAATAAGTTTGCTTGTGAACTTTCACGACTTTGGTTTAATATGTCCCTCAACTTTTAATATTACATATAGTAGATTTTGAACTTTTAAAAACAAGGTTATTGAAATCTCACTTTTTTGTCCCCATTTGATCTTAGAATTTTGAAAATGTCTAATAGGTTAAGGTGCGTTTGATTGGGGATCGAAAAACAAAAATTTGAAAATAAAGCATTGAATGGAAAATAAGGTTATTGTATTCCATGTTTTGAGTGTTTTCAAATGTGGGTTTGGTAGAGATTTGAAAATTGAATCTTAATTTTAAAAACTGATATTTAGTAATACATTTGTAAATTCATGATAATTACGAACTAAATATTTAATTCAATATAAAATCATATTAATTAATTAATTAATATATATGATATAAATTTTGTATAATAATTATTTACAATATTATATATTATATTTTTAAATTTTAATAAAAATAGAATGAGTTTACAAGACAGTTTATTTATCAAGGGTATCATTATTCATCGAATTTTCTACTAATTACGATTTCTTGACTTGAGTTCCAACAGTCTTCTTGGAACCATTCCTCCGTCTTGGAGTCGTTCTCTACTTCGTCCCATTAATATTTATGGGAACAAGCTTCATGGTATCATTTCATCTAAATTGGGAAGCCAAAGCTTTCAAGTGAGGGAGAAGAGAGAATTGTCACTCTTTGATGAAAAACTAAATATTATGGTAAAATTAGTCCTTTCATTTTTATTATCACTAAAACCTCTGTTTGGGGAAGAGAATAACCTGGACACGTGGAGAATCCCTATTGGTGCTCCAAGATGACTCATGAGTCATGCCCAGCTCGGACGGCCGAGATCACCACCACTAGCGTTGACAGATACTGAGTATGAGCGCCGAGGTGAACCTGGCCGAGGTCCGACCTACCGAGAAGCTCGGTAGGGGCCGATGTGAGCTACTGTCAGCAGCGTGATTATCGGGTATAACCGTCGGTCCCGAGATTACCGGGTGTAACCGACAGTCCCGAGATTACCGGGTGTAACCGTCGCGAGATTAGCGGGACTACCACCCATAAGTAGAGGACCTCACTCTGCGATCAGGTACGATGATTTCTGAYCTCGAACTAAACTRGGAATCCGACCTATACTGACTTGATCGTCGGAGTGCTCACCTTTTTGTGCAGGTCCGCCCAAGTATTCAGATCGGTAGATTACCGGGTGTAACCGTCGCGAGATTAGCGGGACTACCACCCATAAGTAGAGGACCTCACTCTGCGATCAGGTACGATGATTTCTGATCTCGAACTAAACTAGGAATCCGACCTATACTGACTTGATCGTCGGAGTGCTCACCTTTTTGTGCAGGTCCGCCCAAGTATTCAGATCGGTCCGGAGGCCGAGTTCGAGCTACAATCTGAAATACACTGTTGTGCATATCTTTGCATAAAAAAACTCAAACATCCTTAACTTAGTTAAACGGAAACATAGATCAATTAAATTTAAAAAATATATTTAATTTTCACCTAATTTTTTTAAAGTCGGATTTTATTTAAATTTTAAATGTTTAATAGCTAAATTTATTGTTTTTAAAAAAATTGGTCTGTTTTTATACGGGTGGTTGGATATTATATATATATATATATATATTTTAATACACAGGGTGTGATTTTAACTCATGATTTATTGGTTAGAGACATGTGTCAATTAACCCTTCTAAACTAATATTTTAATTAGATTTAGTTTAAAGTTAGTTTTTTTTATATATATAAAGAAAAATCTTGTAGAATTGTTGGGTATTGTTACAGGAGATATTTTAAACTACTTATTAGAAAAAATGTGCGCTATACATTATTTTTGGAATAAATTTTAAATGTGAAATACTTTTTTAAAAAGTTTGAAAATTAGTAATATTATAAAAAAAAAACTTGTATAAAAGTGTCATTTCATGCTGTCAATCAAAGCATAACAGAGTGGGTTAAGCTACATGTATCCAACCATAAGAGAGTTCGAATTCTCACCCCTATGAAAAAAAAAGTGTCATTCCATGCCTTTTATCAACTTTTCTAGTAAATGATTTTTAAATAATTTAAAAGTAATTAATGTAGAACTAAAAAGAAGAAGTAATTAATATAACTCGAGAACAAACATCATAATTATCCTCTACATAATTCCATATTATTACGATTATTTTATTATTGATCTAAAAAAAGAAATTGATTTTACAAACGATATAAAATACAAATATCATTTTCAGCCTATTGCAATGATTTCTCCGGCACTTGCCCAAACAAAATTTTGTGGAATTAAATAAAATCAAGAGAGATAAAAGAGCTCTCAATTTCTATTAATTTTTTATGATATATATATATATATATATATAACCCAAGTAAACTACTTTTGAAATATTGATTTTGTTCAATTGAATTTTAATTTGCGTAATA